TCTTCTTCCTCCTCCTCCTCCTCCTCTTCCTCCTCCTCCTCCCCCTCCTCCTCCTCCTCCCCCTCCTCCTCCTCCTCCTCCTCCTCCTCCTCCTCCTCCTCCTCCTCCTCCTCCTCCTCCTCCTCCTCCTCCTCCTCCCCCTCCTCCTCCTCCTCCTCCTGCATCCTTGCCGCTTCGGCCCATCCTTGGCGGCATTCGCTGGCCAGCCTCGTTCGAAGAGCGTTCACATGGGCCTTTCCGGGGCCCTTGCATCCTTGCCGCGCATCCTGCAGCGATCGCTGTCTCGATTCGCCCTGCTCCGACGAGCGGGCCCGGCACTTCCTGGAGCCGCCCCGGCGGCAGTACGAGCACGAGGCCAGCCAGGCGCACCGCGGCGCGGTGGTGGCGGTCGCGTTCTGCGCGCGGCGGCCGCCGGGGCGGCCGCCCCGGCTGCTGTCCTGCGGGGTCGACGGCAAGGTGCGCACGTGGGACCCCGGCACCGGCCATCTCGGGAGGGACAAGAGCATCAGTTCTCTGGTCAACCCGCATAATCAGTAAGGATGTGCAGCCTCCCCAACGCCACCCTTGCATCCTTGCCTCCGCGGCCCATCCTTGGCCGCTTTCGCTGGCCGCGCCCTTGGCCGCGAAGTGTCGACATGGCCCTCTAAGGCCCTTGCATCCTTACCGAGAATCCTCATGATACGGGATGACCGCAGGCCTCCCAGATGGGGTCCGGGTAGTTAGGGTCGGAGGATCGCGCCGCATCGCCGACGCGTCGGCGATGCGGCTCGATGTGGAGCTCGATTTCCTCCACGCCGACGTCGCCGATGCATCACCCACGTCGACGATGCATCGCCGCCGCATCGGCCGATGCATCGGCGCTGCGGCGCGATCTTCCGACCCGATCCGCTCCGACCCCATTTTTGGAAGGCCTCTAGCAGTGGCACCTTGGAGCGGGCTGCGAGGGCCTGAGGCGAACCAGCATCGGTTTCGGCCATTGGGGGAGGAGTGGGGTCCTCCTCCTCTCCTTTCTCCTCCTCCTCCTCCTCCTCCTCCTCCTCCTCCTCCTCCTCCTCCTCCTCCTCCTGGGGGGGCGTCCAGGTTCGAGGGTCGAGGTTTGACGAGGTTTTGTGTGGCCTTTTCCATCCTCGGGTGACCGTTTTCGGGCCCCCGGACCGTCAAACATGGATCCAAGAAGAAAGATTGCACCATATGGATCCCAAGAGGGGTCTGGGGGCAGATTTTTGCCCTCACCCCCCCTTCTCGACCGATCTTCTCGGGCCCCATCCAGTTCAGACCCCTCCGCCGCCTCCGAGGTGGCACGAGACACGCGCGGGGTCTATCAGACTCTGCGCGTTGATTACTCGTCTTCGGTCTTTGTACAAACGCACTCCACCGCCTCCTTCAACAGCAAGTAAGATGCTGGCCGGATCCGTCTGGTTGGCGTGACGCTGATGCTGCTTGTGCCCTCTGGCCACCCCTCGGGCCCGCGTGCCTTCGACGTCGAGTGCAGCTGCGTGGAGCGCCCCCTGCAGATGGGCGCGCTCGGGGACCACGAGGATCAGTATCGTTTAACCGATCACCATCCCCATCCCGATCCCCACGATCCCACCAGTCCCAGCCCATATCCCCGCCTATAGGGGGGCAAACCGGCCAGGGGGCCCAGGTCACGCCGCTGGGGATAGGGGTCGGTGACACTCACGGGGCGCGTTCCGCTACTCGCAAAGTGCCTTCTCGCAAGCGTCCGAGAAACACATGTGTGCTTGCGGTGTGCTGGATCGTAGATCCCTCACGGCGGAGCCAGGCCATTTCCGAGCACGGCAGGTTCGCGCCGTGTCGACCGGTGGCGACACCGCCGCGGGCGTTCAAGGTGAAACGCCGCCAGTGGCCCAGAATCAGCCTACATGGGAAAAATCCGGCGATCGCAGAGCCGCCGACTGTTCAAGGTTGAACGCCCCACGCGGTGTCAGAAACCGACGCCGGGGCCGTCACGGCACGTGTTTACCGTAGCTACTTTGCCCCAGGAGGAGCAGGAGGGGTGGCAGGAGGAGGAGGAGGAGGAGGAGGAGGAGGAGGAGGAGGAAGCGCTTCGTGCCCTAACAATGGTGGCGTGCTATGTGCGGTGCTCATGAGGACACGGTGCTGGTCCCCGAGGGCCGCGCGCTGGCCGCCTACTGCGCGGCCACGGGAGCGCCCCTGTGCGCCCTGGCGGCCCACACCGCGGAGGTGCGCTGCGTCGAGGCGCTGACGATGATGACGATGCTGATGATGATGATGATGATGATGATGATGATGATGATGATGATGATGATGATGATGATGATGATGGTGCTGATGCTGATGCTGATGCTGATGATTCTGATGATGCTGCTGCTGGTGATGCTGATGCTGGTGATGCTGATGCTGATGCTGATGCTGATGATGCTGATGCTGGTGATGCTGATGCTGATGCTGATGCTGATGATGCTGATGCTGATGCTGATGATTATGGTGATGATGCTGATGGTGATGGTGATGATGATGCTGGTGATGATGATGGTAATGATGGTGATGATGATGTTGATGGTGATGATGATAATGCTGTTGCTGATGTTGCTGATGATGCTGATACTGATGCTGATGCTGATGCTGATGCTGATGCTGATGCTGATGCTGATGGTGATGGTGATGGTGATGGTGATGATGATGCTGATGTTGCTGCTGATGATGATGCTGATGCTGATGCTGATGCGGATGCGGATGCTGATGATGATGTGCTGCGTCGAGGCGCTCGAGGGCCGCGCGGGGCTCCGGCCCGGCGCCGCCGAGGTGCTCAGCGGCGGGGAGGACGGGCGCCTCCTGTGCTGGCGCGCCGAGGGCGCGCCCGCCCTCCACGGGGCCGAGTGCACGATCGAGATCGACTGACCCGAAGAAGAGCACGCCAAACGATGCGAGCACTCGGGGAGGAGGAGAAGTCGGAGGAGGAGGAGGAGGAGGAGGAGGAGGAGGAGGAGAGGAAGGTGGAGACCACAGTGCTCTAGTCAAAACGAGTACCCAACACAGGAGGGTTGGGAACAAAACACCGCGAGCACTCGGGGAGCACATTGTATGACATAAGGCATAAGTGGCATAAGCATGATTACCAAACTGGGAGCTCCGCGCGGATTTCTCGGATCGGCGCTGGGGCCCCCTGGCGGTGCTTCTTGCGCCGCCCCTGGCGCGCGGGGGTCCAGCGCCGATCCGAGAAACCCTCGCGGACCTCATAGTTTTTCCCCAATCCGTGTTTTCATTACACCAGAGAAAAACCACACTCAGGGGATGGTCCGAAAGTTTTGCAAGCACCATGCCCGGCCGCAGTTACGCAAGAGGGCCCTACGAGGCCAACTCATTGATTGCCCTTGCGTGTTGGAAAGGGTTGTGGTAACCTCGCCATTTCGGGCATCCGTCAGCTCGGCGGCCTGAGAGGGCCCTTCGACGATTCAAGAGGGCCACAAGACGTCCCCACAGCGGCCCGGGAGAGGCATCAGCATCAGCAAGATAGAGGGAGAAAGAGAGAGAGAGAGAGAAAAAGAGAGAGACAGAGAGAAACATATCAAAAAGAGAGAGATGAGAGGGAGAGAGAGAGAGAGAAAGAGAGAGAGAGAGAGAGAAAAATATCAAAAAGAGAGAGAGAGAGGGGGGGCGCCCAAGGACAGCCGGCCACCGAGAGCCGCCCACCGGCATCGGCTGGCCACTCTCGCCACTCTCTTGTGGGGGCGCCCACCGAGAGCCGCCCACCGAGAGATCGGCTGGACACCTTCGCCGGTGTCTTCTACAGTCGGGGCCCTGAAGAAGGAACCCATTCTCGTTGGGGAGGGGCTCCGCGTTCCTTAAGTGTTTCGCAGCTTGCCTCAGGGTTTCCTTAGGTTTTCGATACGAAATCGAAGTATAACTTATGGAAAAAAGGGGCCTCGTTCCTTATTTTGGGCTCCTTAGGTAAAGGCCCCGACTGTATGCCCGCTAGGACCCCTTCAGTGTAAAAACTGATTCGGGAACTGAAGGGGTCCTATCCGGAGGGGAAAAAAAAACACAGTCACAATTAGAATCGCCGGTCCCCAGGAAAACATGGGGAAACAGGGGAAACGGGGGGGGGGAAGACAGAAGCCCAGAAACTATGGTAAAGCATGGGGGATCCTGTTATATCTGTGTGTGTGTGCATTTCTCAGAGCGTGAATTACCTACCCCGCTTTCGCTTCCAGGCAAAACCAAGCCATACCACGCGCCTCCTCGTCAAGCGGCCTGACCAGTACAGGCTGCAATTTGGCATCGTTTGGTATCTCTTGGAAGCGAGGGTGGTCAAAAGCGAGGTAGATTTGTTTTCCCCCTATTTCTCTGTGTGTCCCAGAGCCCCGTCCTCCCAGAGGACACCGCAGACGCCGGCGGCAGTGGCCGGCCGATCTCTCGGTGGGCGGCCCTCGGCGGGCGGCCCCTCGGGAGGTGGGCGAGAGCAGCCTGCCGAGTTCGGAGGGCGGCTCTCGGTGGGTGCCCCTTCTCTCCTTCTCTCTCTCTCTCTCTTCCTCCCTTTCTCTCTCTCTCTCTCTGTCTGTGTCTCCGTCCCTTCTTTGTGTTGTTTGTTCTCTCTCTCTCTCTTTCTCTCTCTCTCTCTATCTCTCTCTCTCTCTCTGTCTCTTCTTTGTCTTTCTCTCTCTCTCTCTTTTGCTGATGCTGATGTTTTTTGTTTCCGGGCCGTTGTGGGGACGTGTCGTGGCTCTCCTGAATCGTCGAGGGGCCTTCTCAGGCCGTCGAGGGTACCTCCGGAGGCCCGCCTGGGTCCTCTTGGGCCCCTGGAGACCTCCTAGGCCATTTTGAGCTGACGGATGCCCGAAATGGCGAAGATGCCACAACTTTTACCTCGCAGGGGCAATCAATGAGTTAGCCTCGTAGGGCCCTCTTGCGCAACTGCCCTCGTGCTAGCAAAAATTGCGGATCAACTGATAGGGGCTTCTGTTGATGTCATTGCTTGTTCCCCTCAACAACGACACGAGCATGGACCCATTGGACCGGGACGATCGAATGGGTACGGAAAGAAGGGGCATAACGACCGCCGCGGACGTTCTCCCTCTGAGACAGAAGGCCGCCTGCCAAGCGGCGGGCGCTGCTCGCCTCGGACGACATTTGTGGTGGGGCACCGTTGGACAGAGCCCCACTGTGGTTCAAGCCGTGCCAGGCCTTCGGACCATTTCGAGCCGCCGCCGCCAGGCATCCCCCGCCCCCGCGCGCACCACCGCGGACGCCATGCCGGCTGCGCGCGGCTGCCCGACGCTCGCCCACGAGCGACCGCGGCGCACTCCTCGCCAGGCGCCGCGCGCGACCGCCTCCGCTGCGCGCGGCCCGCGAGCGACCCGCGGCACGCTCCTCGCCGGGCTCCTGCTGGCGGCCGCGGCGGCCGCCGCGTGCGGCTGGGGGCACGGCGGGGCCTACGCGAGCGGCGCGGGCTGGTCAGCAGAGGAAAAAACATACCACCCGTACTGGTACCCTTCGCCCGTTTTCCCCGTGCTGCAGAGGCCTCCTGGGAGGCCCTCGTCGCCACCGCCGGCTCCGCCCCGAAGTCCTGTAGTCAGAGCGCGCCCCGGGAGAGAGGTCCAGGGGAGTGGCAGTGTATATCGGGACCTTTTGTGGTTCCCCCAGGCCACCCGCGCGTCAGCCGGGGCCTGGCGCGCTCGCCGCGCCGGCGAGCAATGCCGGGGTCGGCGCGGAAGGGCAGGGGTGGCCCGGCTTCCAGGACCGCGCGGGTGCCGCTTACGATCAGTTTGGTGGTAGGAAAGGGGTGTGGTGTAAAGGAGTGTGGGGCCCATGCTGGACCTGGCGAGGGTATCTATCGTAGATAGCATCGCCATTTCCACGCTTAGCACCATTCCCCTTCATGTCGCTCCCTGTCCAGCCTCCAGACGTCAGTGGCAGGGTCCGGCCGCCAGCCAGCCACCAGTCGCAGCCTACGCGAGCCATAGCGAGCCGAGCCACGGCCGGCCCGTGCGGACACCATCGGACAAGCAGTTGGCCTATGCACAGGAGATTGCGGCCATGTTAGGCGTAGAGGTATGGCCAGATGCGCGCTGTAGCTCGGAGGCATGCGCCGAATTCATCCGCGAGCATAGAAGCGTGCCCTATGATCGGATGAGATGCTCTCCAGATATGAGCGCCCAGATGCCCAGGTCTGCACCGCCGAGCACATGGAGTCCTGGCCAAGCCTCCGAGTGGGCGCCAACCCCCAAGCAGATGAAATTCGCTTGGGAGCTCGCAGAGTGTATGGGCATGGATCTCCCGCAGGGTGCGCTCGTCAGTCGTGACACGTTTACCAGAATGATTGACGATTTCATTACCGCGCGGAATTTGGTGCAAAAGTGGAAGAACAGTGAGCGGTTCATTCCAAATGCGGGTGACCAGACGCCAGAGTTTGCACGGCCTGTCGCGGGAAGCCACAGTCAGTTTGCCGATAGGTTGCCAACGCACAAGCAGCTGGCTCTCGCGGAGTTGCTTGCATCACAGGCTGGCATGCAGGTGCCGCAGAGTGCGTACGACAGCGCTCACCAGTGCAGCATATTCATTGACGAACGCAAAGCTGCGGCCCGAAGGTGGTTGGACTCACCACGGAGGTACGGGAGTTTTTCTTAAGGTTCTCGGATGTACTTTTGCCGAAGGAGTGCGCAGACAGGTGTTATCCCGAGACCTTACTTTGAAACCTGCTTTGGACGAAACACTTGCGTTCAGGTATCCCGCGCAGGTGCAGGGGATCACTTGCGAATGGTAAGGTCAGAGGACGATGGCTCCAGCGCAAGGCCATGGCCTGTGCTAGTGCATCTCTCTGCACGGGTTGATTTGAGGCTCCGTCCAGTTTCTTTCGGCAGCGCAGTTTTCTGTGCGAGGTATGAGCATATACCTCTGGGTTCGAGCGAGGCGACTTTGTGCCATGGGGTAGTGCACCGAACCGCTCGACGCTTGCTGTGCGTACTCGTAGCGCCGCTCGCTCTGTGGCAGTGAGAAGAAAACATGCTGTTTGGCATCGCGCTCCTTGCTTCCGCACCCGCTGCGGGCGCACGGCTCGGAGGCCCGCGGAGAAGATCTCCTTGCCTCGGCGCTGGGCGCCCCCGCGGAGAACCCGGAGGCCTGCCTCAAGGCCCTCCTCCTCCTCCTCCTCCTCCTCCTCCTCCTCGATTTACCTCCTTTCCTCCGCCTCCTCCTCCTCCTCCTCCTCGCTCTACCTCCCTTCCTCCGCCTCCTCCTCCTCCTCCTCCTCCTCCTCCTCCTCCTCCTCCTCCTAGGACTACCCCAAGGCCGTGCCCCTGGGACTACCCGCCGCGTCAGGCCTGCCCCAAGGCCCTCCCCCCTAGGCCTACCCTGGGCCTACCCCTGGCGGCGCCTCCGGCACCGCCCGCCCCCCGCCGCGCTCCGCGCGCCAGGGAGAGGAGGGGTCCAGCGCCGGTTCGAGCAACCCGCGTGGACCTTCGAATGCTTCTGGTCGTGCCTCCCCATGCTTCAGGAGCGGAAAAAACACGCGGAGACAAATAGTCGCTGATTCTTTGGAAGATATAAACAATTAGAAATGGAGGGGAAGACGAAACTCAAGAACATATGGGAAAGCATGGGGAATCTTGGAACTTGTGTCGATTTATTTGTGTGTCGCAGGGCCCCTCCACACCCCTCGAGACACGGTGGCCATGACCACTACGTCGAGGGAACACTTTGTCGACGCCGATCTTGGTCCATGGTCCACGCCGGCCGCCGCCGACTCGCGAGGATGATCCACGAATTGACTATGGCCAAGGCGGACGATTACCCAGACCGACACCGACGTTTCCGCGCTCAGACTTGGTTTTTGTTGTCGTTCTCTTTCCCTCCAGAGCCCGCTGCCGCTGCACGCCTTCGTCGCCCGGGCGGAGCTTCGCCAGCCCTCTGCCTCCTCCGCCCTCTTCCGCCAGCTTCTGCCTCTTCCATCCTGGCATGCGCGAGGGCTTGCCGCTTCAGCACGCGTGTGCGTGTGTGTGTGTGTGTGTGTGTGTGTGTGTGTGTGTGTGTGTGTGTGTGTGTGTGTGAATGAGAGTGTGTGTGTGTGTGTGTCTGTGTGTGCGTGTGTGTGTGTGCGCGTGTGTGTGTGTGTGTGTGTGTGTGTGTGTGTGTGTGCACGTGTGTGCGTGCGTGTGTGCGTGTGTCTTTGTGTGTGCGTGTGTGCGTGCGTGATTGCGTGCGTGCGTGTTTTTGTATGTATGTGTGCGTGTGGGTGTGCGTGCGTGCGTGCGTGCTTGCGTGCGTGCGTGCGTGCGTTCGTGTGTCAGTGTGTGTGTGTGTGCAGATGTGTGTGTGTGTGTGTGTGTGCGTGTGTGTGTTTGTGTGTGTGAACGTCCTTCGCTTGCCCCCCCCTCGGCAGACGCTCGGTGGTAAGCATCCCAGCACAATCCGCAAACGCCTTGTTTGGGGTGGTCCAACCAGCCGCGGAGTGGAACATTGCGCCCGCGTGTGTTTCTGTGTGGGTGAGTAAAAAACTGCCTTCGCTTCCCCCCCCCCATCGGCATGAGCTCGGCGGTAATCATCTTAGCGCAACCCGCTAACGCCCTTGTTGAGGTGGATCAACCGGCCGCGAAGTAGAACGTGTGCAGGAGTGTGCGTGTGTGTGTGTGTGTGTGTGTACGTGTGTGTGTGTGTGTGTGTGCGTGCGTGCGTGCGTGCTTGCGTGCGTGCGTGCGTGCGTACGTGAGGCGTGCGTGTGTGTGCGTGTGTGTGTGTGTGTGTTTGTGTGTGTGCGCGCGCGTCTGTGTGTGTGTGTGTGCGTGTAGTGTGTGTAGTGTGTGTGTGTGTGTGTGTGTGTGTGTGCGTGCGTGGGTGTGTGTGTGTGTGCGTGTGTGTGTGTTTGTGTGCGCGCGCGTCTGTGTGTGTGTGTGTGCGTTCGTGTGTGCGTGCGTGCGTGCGTGTGTGTGTGTGTGTGTGTGTGTGTGTGTGTGTGTGTGCGTGCGTGTGTGTGTGTGTGTGTGTGTGTGGGGCGTCGGAAGTTCGTAGGGCGAGGATTCTCCCAAGTTGGGGCTTTAGAGCGGGCCCAGCTGGTTACTCACACTTCCTTTTCCCAGGGCCCATGTAGAACGAGTGCCATCTAATCTCACCGTTGCCCGTACCCCACCTTTACATGCCAGTCGGTGGAAGTAGGTATTTCTGGATTCCCCGATCCCGATCTAGTTGAAGCGCCTTCCTACGTCAAGAATCGATGTGCTTTTGCTGTGCTTGTTATTTTCTGGGATGGCTTGAGCCCAATCTACCTTATCCTCTTTCCCATTTCATGTTTCTACATGTGTTCCCGACCAGAGTGCGGACTTCTTTGTCGCAGGGCCCATCTAGAGCGAGTTCCCTCTAACCCCACCTCTGTCCGTACCCCACCTTTACGTCCCCCCAGAGTGTGTGTGTGTGTGTGTCTGTGTGTGTCTGTGTGTGTGTGTGTGTTGTGTGCGTGATACTGTGTGTGTGTGTGTGTGGGGCCGTGCGTGTGTGTTTGTGTGCATGTGCGCGCAGCGAGAGCGCAGCCGCCGCGGCACGCGATGTGCGCATCAGCGCGCCTCCTCCCTGAGTTTGCTCAGGGTTCGTCCGCCGACTTGGGTCGCGCTCCGCGCCCGCGTCTGCATCAGAGCCTGCAACAGCCCTTTGGTTTGGCCGTGACGCTAGCCAGGGCCCGCTGCCAGGGGTGCAGCATTGGCTGGCCGCCCCGGCCGCCCCACGGCCGCGCACCTTGCCATGTGAGTGCCCTCCCCTCCCCCCCTGCCTGTCTTTTTTGCCTGTCATTTCCCCCTTCTCCCTCGCTGTCTCCTTTTTGCCTGTCCCCTCTCCCTGTCTTTTTTGCCAGTCCCCTCTTTTTTGCCTGTCCCCTCTCCCTCGCGGCCGCTTTTTTGCCTGTCCTTTCCCCCTCCTGCCGCGGGTTCGTGTGCGTCTTCCCTTTGCCCGGACCGCCCGAGCGCGCGTGCGGACGGCCTCCTTTCCGCGGTGCCACGCAAAGTGTTCGGAGGACGCAGATCTGCACAATCAGAAGCTGTCGGGGTTCCGCGCGGCTCTCTGCGATGGGCGCTGGGCCAAGCGTCAGCGAAGTCCAGGGCCCATCCGAGATCTCGCGCGGTGTTCTGACTGTTTGCTAATTGTGCCCTTGTTCTTGTTATGTCAACGCAATCGTTGTCTTTGACAGGATGGGGGGTGCGTTCTGGTCCCGTCTCGGCGCGCGCAGCGTTTGGTAAGTGTTGCGTGCGCAGTGATTGGAACACATTGGCAGAATTTGTGGGCCCAAGGGTCTTGAAATACCACCGGGTGCGTGGCTGAAGAGGTGTTTCGCGGTGCGGGTTCATGTTAGCGGTTACTGTATTGCTAGTTTCGTGTGTTTGTTCGCATTGTGTGGTGATGTTCATATTCGCAGTATGCTTGTGATTATTGTAATTACTCTTATGTTTCTGCAGGCTTGACTCGCCTATTACTGGCGGGGACTGTTTTTCGCCCGCCGTTGACTTACATGTGCCTCGCCCCTATGTCGTCGTCTAGTGGCCGTGCAGAGTTTGTTGGCGAGCCCTCGTAAACATTTCTCCTCTTTAGTGCGTTTGCTCGGTTCGGCCGCAGAAGGAAGAGGAGAAGGAAGAGAAGGAGAAGGAGGAGGAGGAGGAGGATGAGGAGGAGAATGAGGAGGAGGAGGAGGGGGAAGAGGAGGAGGAGGAGGAGGAGGAGGACACGGAAGAGGAGATGAGGAAGAGGAGGGGTAGGAGATGGGGGAGGAGGGCGGGGGAAGGGAGCCAGACGGAGGGGGAGGGGAGGGGAGTAGAAAATAGAGGGGGACACGGATGATGACGAGAAGCAGGCGTTCGCAAACCGCGTCTCGGGCGGCATGTTGGTCAAGAACATCCAGGGCGAGGGATGATGATGATGAGGAGGAGGAGGAGGAGGAGGAGGAGGAGGAGGGATGAGGTGGAGGGGGAGGAGGAGGAGGAGGAGGATGAGGAGGAGGAGGAGGAGGAGGGGGAGCAAGACGAGGAGGAGGAGAAGAGAAGGAGGAGGACGGGGAGGAGGAGGAAGAGGAGGAGGACGAGGAGGACCCCCGTTTCGCATGATACATCTTGCGAGTTCTCGGATCCGAGGTGCACTGCGTTCAGGTGGTCAGGTCCGATGTGCTTGGTACATCCTCACAAGCCTGGTCTCCAATTTGCGAATCTCGAAGTGTTCGGGCCTGTTTCGCGTGAGACATCTTCGTGGCTCTGGGTTCCGAGACGTTTTGATTTGAGGGCACCTGGCCCGTTTCGTTTGTGTCATTCTCAGAACTGGTAGAGCAGCTGGTAGAGCATTGGCTTGGGGTCAGTTCGGCCAACTGGGCGTAGGAGAACGACCCTATTCTGCCTTACGTAATTCTCAAGGGAACTTCTTCGGCGCCGGTTCGCTTGCGAGATGCCGCGGCTTGGGCAGATCTGCGCGTTTAGCTGAAGTGGGATGCCATCCCATCGTGTCCCAAGGCAGCCCAGCGGTATGGTCAGAATCACATCTACAAGTTGCCAAAGGATTGGCAGGGATGGTGGTCGGAGGAGGCCCCCCAATGATCCAAACCCGCCGTTGGATAGGAAAACTGTTGAGCTGAAAGGGTTCTTTCGTTCCAATCGGCCGTCGTTGATGAGACAACGGCCCTGTCTGGAGGACGTGGTCCAAGCGTTCCACCAGGACCACAAGGAAGCGCGGGACAATGAAGAGGGTGTCAATTTCAAAGATCCTCCGCGTTCTTCCAGGACGGATTGGACGTGCGGCGTGAAGCGGACAAAGCTGCGGGCAGGGCCATGTTTGTCCCCGCCGAGGTGGCGAATGGATGGTTCTGCAAAATGAAGGTCGCCCCGTTGAGATCGCGGACGCTGCCGTCGCCAATGCGGACGAAACGCGTCGACCTCGAGGACAACCGCGTTCATCTAGAGAATTTCCGCAACAGGTGCCCGCAACATGATATTCCCCCCTAGAATTGGTGATGTCGTGCGATGAGTTCAACGACTTCAAGCTTCTCGTGCCCAAACGCGTCCAACCAGCTGTCGACGAACGCCAGGGCTCTCGCAGGCGCGCGGCCCGGTCATCCACAAACCGTTAAACATTGACGTGTGCGGTCCTGATTCCCGCTCTGCGGAATGGGCGTTTCTCGAGGTGTTCCAGCCAGTTTATCGGAACGCTGGAAACCGAGATGCTTTGACTGGAGGTGGTTTTGCCCGTTCCTGCTTGGGGCGTCTTGCCCAATTCTGGTCGGGACATCCTCACAATCGTTTGGGACATCCTCACAGCTCTGGGTTCCAAGATGCGGTTCTCGAAGTGTTCCGGCCCGTTTCGCGTGAGACACGTTCGGGAATGTTGGCTCCGAGATGCGTTAATTTGGGGTGATGTGGCAGTTTCGCTTGGGACATTCCAGTGCGAATCTTAAATTCTTCTGGCCCGTTTCGCGTGGGAGGCCCTCAGAACACCCGCCTCCGAGATGCTTCGATTGAGGTGATCTGCTCCCCACAAAGACTGGAGCAAGGCCGCCGCTCGCGCGCCGGCTCTTCCTCGGCACCAGTGAGGGAAGGCGTGCGTGGGCTGGTCTTTGAGTGCGGCCTCGATCCGCTCTAGGTCGCCGGGCGTGTCAGGTGTAGCACGCTCGCGACCCAGAGAGGGTGCGCAGGAGGTGGTTCCTGAGCGCAGTTTCTATCCCTGCCAATTTCGCAGGGCGCGGCAGGCGTGGTCTGACGCCAAGAGGGGGTGCGCAGGATTCCGCCCCTGCACGCGGAGCGCCATGGCGGTCGCGGCGACGCACCCGGTTGTCCGGTTTGCCTCGCTTCCCTCCTGTTTTTTGATTCCCACCACAGCGTTGGGAAGAACTATTTGTTCATTGTCCCCCTCCAGACAGATCGATTACTTGAACAATTTTTAGATATTCCACGAAATTATACTCAACTCCGTCATCCGATGGATGGGTATGATGTGTTGCGCTCTTGTGATGCGATGTGTTGTTGTGCTGGCCTCCGGCCAGTGCCGCCGATCAGGGGCGCTCCGAATAATGGTGATGATGATGGTGATGTTGATGATGACTCGGATAATGTTTAGCATGGTAATGGACATGGTGAAGAGCATGAAAATGGTGATGACGACGACGAAGGTCAGGATTGTGATGCTGGTGCTGGGATGGTGGTCGTGATGGTGATCACGGTGTGCCCACACTTGTGTTGATAATAATGATGGCGTTGGTGTTGAGGTTGGTGGTGTGAATTCCCACGGTACTACGGATGATGCAGTTGATGAGGACGGCGATGGCGATGGTGATGTTGTTGATGATGTTCAACGTTCTGTTGGTGATGCTGTTCATGCTGTTGTTGATGATGCTGATGATGCTCATGATGTTGACGCTGACCATGGTGATGGTGGTGGGGATATTGATGACGACGGAAATGATGGGGATGAAGGGGAAGAGGTCGACCATCATATGCTGCGTCTTCCGTCTCCACGTCTTGTGGAGCTCGTAAGGGGCTGCCCTGGGGTTGTTTGTGGTTTTCGTGGGGAGGGAGAAACATATGGAGGAGGGATGACGAGGGAGGAGGGAGGAAGAAGGAGGCAAGAGGTATGGAGGGATGAGGCAGGAGGGAGAAAGGAGGCGGGGATGAGGGAGGGATGGAGGGAGGGATGAGGAAGGAGGCGGAGGTGAAGGAGGAGCAGCGAGGAAATAACATGAGGAAAGAGCATGGGGAGGGACGGGGAGGAGGAGGAGGAGGAGGAGGAGGAGGAGGAGGAGGAGGAGGAGGAGGGGGAGGGGGAGGAGAGTAGGGGAGGAGGTGGAGGAGGGGAGGAGGAGGAATAGGAGGCGGAGGAGGAGGAGGAGGCGGAGGAGGAGAGGGAGAGGAGGAGGAGGAGGAGGAGGAGGTGGAGGAGGAGGAGGAGGAGAGGAGGAGGAGGATGGAGGAGGAGGGAGGGAGGAGGATGAGGAGGAGGAGGAGGAGGAGGAGGCTTGGGCTACCAGCCCTGGGACGGGGGAGGAGGAGGGAGAAAGGAGAGCGCAAGGGCGGGAGGCAGTGGGAGCAGGCGGGAACCTTGAAGTTCTCCTCGCACGGGCGGGCGGGTTCCCTGGGGCGAAAGCGGCCCGCGCGCTGGCCGTCGTCGTCGTCGTCGTCGTCGTCGTCGTCGTCGTCGTGGGGACCTTCCTCTCCCTCCCCCATCCCCCTCTTCGGCCCCCCCTGCCCCACGAGGAGGACGCATTGCCCGCCGCCGCCCTACCCACCGCCGGTGAAGCCCCCAGCCCACCGAACACAGTCTACTCGGTTACCCGCAGCCCCGCTTGGGGCGCCGGTTCTGGCGACGGGGCAAACCTAGGGAAGTTGAGGGGCCGGGTGGATGAGAGGGAAAGCGCGGCGGAAGGCGGGCCTGGAAGAGGGGGGGGGGGAACGAGAGGGAAGGGGCGGGGGATGCCGCGGGCGGCCGTTGGCGCAGGCCACGAGGGCACGGCATGCTATTTCTCACTCGAACACCAGAGCGACGCGTTATTGTGGATGGGCGCCGCCAACATGCAGGCAAACTCAAGGATACGCACCATCCTCCTCCACCTCCTCTTCTTCTCTAACCCCACCCCTTAAGCCCTGAAGCCCGCAGGGATGTAGGTGTGGCCCCAAGGAACCAACGCCCTGACCGGGGAAACCTTATCCCAAAACACCTTGGGGCGACTGGAAATTTGCGTGACTCTAGAAACTTTTGGAGTCACGCAAATTCAATGTCCTTAGCCAGAAGTCCTAGCATAATCCCCGAGATCTTGCCTACCTAGTGCGGCATGCCACCAGAACTCCAGCCGTATTTGTTGAGTCGGGCCAGTCGAAACGACGGACCGCAGGCTAGATGGGTATGCGAAGGATAGCCGTCGCCCACAGTCCTGGCAGAGTTCCTGCGCGGACGGCGCTGGTCTGGCCTACCTTGTGCCGCTTGCTACCAAAACTCTAGCCTAATTTGTTGAGTATGTATGCCAACGCATGTCAGTGTGTGCCAGTGCATGCGGACGCATGCCAATACATGCCAACGCATGCCACTGCATGCCAATGCACGCCAGCGCATGCCAACGCATCCCAACTCATGCCAAAGGGTGCCATAACACGCCAACGCATGCCAACGCATGCCAGCGCATGCCAATGCATGCCAACGCATCCCAACACATGACAGCACATGCCACTGCATGCCAAAACAAACCAACGCATGCCAACTCATGCCAAAGGGCGCCATAGCACGCCAACGCATGCGAATGCATGCCAGCGCGTGCCAATGCATGCCAACGCATCCCAACGCATGCCAGCACATGCCACTGCATGCCAAAGCAAGCCAACGCATGCCAATGCTCGTCAACGCGCGCCAACGCATGCCAACGCATGCCAGTGCATGCCAGTGCGTGTGGACGCATGCCAGTGCATGCGGACGCATGCCAACGCGTGCCACTGAATGCCAACGCATGCCACAGCATGCCAATGCACGCCAACGCAGGCCAATGCATACCAACGCGTGCTATAGCACGCCAATGCATGCCAACGCATGCCAAAGCATCCCAACGCA